CCAAATGATCACATCAGGATTTAGATCTTTGGTTGGTTCCAATAGCATTCCCACCAGAAACAAAAACCTTTCCAATCACCTTCCTGACAGAGGAATGTCAGCTATACATGTAGAAGAAATGGCAGAAAAAAAAAATAATTATAAGCCACCAATAAGTCAATGAAGCACAGGTTGCTGTTAGCCTTTCAGTATCTCTCCAGAAAATGACAGCACTGTTAGAATGTTAGCATTCTGGGTTAGAAGGAAAGGCTGCATGTCACATCCTAACTATTACAGACACAGAAAAAGATGCCCACTGCACCAGTCACAAGCAGTGCTGTTCAAACTTGGCTCGCCCAAGTGTTTGCCAATAGTGATGCTGAGAAAACAAATGTGAGGTCTTCTGGTTCTAACCTGCCAGGCACATGATACACAAGGCAAGATAAAGCAGGCAAGGCCTTTGCTCTCCAGGAGTTTCGGAGCCCTTGTGGTAGCCAGTATTAAATGAATATAAATAATGGCAAATTAGCAGAAATGTCACAAAGAGAAAGCAGAGGGCTTCGGGGTAGGACAGCAGCCTGCTCAGGAGTCACTCTCAGGAATAACACAGATGATCCAGGCAGAACCAAGAACAAGCATTCAAACACTGAATTCCATTAACAAGCAATGTGGAGTTCTGTTCCACAGGGTCTAAATAGACATTTTCATGACAGACTAAAAGAGTTCTATATCCTTTTAACTTATATCTATTTTTTTCTATTTTCACTTTAGGGAGAAGGAAAAAACCAAAAACGTTTTTTTTTTTTTAAATCAAACTTTTAGGATCACATTAGTTGTATTGTTTTTACAACCCCCCATGCAAATCAAATAATTAGAAAAAATATCCACTCTTAAATCTATAATTCATTTCAGAGTCATGTTCTGTTTTAATGAATGACAAAGTTACACAAAGAAATTGCTAGTTTCCTCCACAGCTTTCAAGCTTCTGAAATTTAACGAGTCTCTTAGGTTAACTAAATACAACTTAAGTCCATTCCATCAGTTTTAATATCTGCATACCCAAAACTATCAGGGCAGTCCTTCGTCTGTAGCTGCTCAAATGAAGCAAGCGTGACTGAGTGTACTGTGGCCCTCCACTACTTCATGAAAGGGAATGAGCTGTGCCTTTGGCTGGTCAATGCAGGAATGTCAATGGATTTCAACATATCACTAATTCTCACTGCCTTTGAAATGGAGGTCATATGTAATACAGATCCATGCCTTGGACAATTTAATTAAGGCAAGAAGTCTAAAAGCTTCATCAAGGTCAGGAGAAATGACACATTTTGAAAACGTATCAGTTTTCTGCAGAACATTCTCTGACAGGGTCAAACTTGGCTGCACAGTGAGTCGCTGGGGGATCCGAAAAGCAGCGCAGGCCAACTCCTAAAATACTAATTTGACTGGACTTAGCACTCAGCTTCCTCTCTCTCTCTCTCTCTCTCTCTCTCTCTCTCTCTCTCTCTCTCTCTCTCACACACACACACACACACACACACACACACACCTCCTAGTCGCTATCACTCAACTTCTATTCAGAATGAAAGCAGGCACACTCAAGGTTACAGATTCCGTTGACCTCACCTTGCATACAGAACTAATAAAATATGACAAAAAAAGTCTGCAAATTGTTAAGCATCTTATTCAACACAGGGGAAAAAAGATACCAAGAGCGAGTGACCTTTTTATTCCCCCCTCTTTCTGTTGGATGCGATGTTACCCGTTAGGAGTCGGGAGCTGGCTCTTCAGGGATTAAGGCTGGGCTAAGTGGTGAAAAAGTTTGTTTTTACTCAGTTGTGCTTCTGTCAAACTTTCCATTATAAATTTCATTTTCTCTGCCAGTAAAAGTAAAATGAGGCTGTGATTTGGCAGGAAAGTTTAAAGCCGGGGTGTGATTTCTGCACACCAATTTAATGTAAATCAATTTCTCTGTATCCTGTAAGAGAGCTTTGAAAGCTACCTTTGTCTACATGATTTCCAAAGCTGCCAAAAAGTCAATAGATGTATTTCTGATAACATCATATGGAAGTATATTGGCGCGCTTATTTCTATTATTTCTCATTTTTAATGAATCCAAATTGATGATAACGAACCTGATGCCCTTTTATCTTCCTGCTAAAATATCAGTTTTTAGAAAACCATGTCTATTACTATTAACACTGAATCTTTAAGAGAAACACATCAACTGCTTAAGGGTACACACACACATGCATGCACACGCAATCAATGCTTATGTACTAGAGTGATGTGCTTTTGTAACCCTGTATATCTCAGGATGATAAGTATGTCTCCAGGACAGTGGTTTACTCACTACCTGTTGCTTACCACCACTGTTTGTGTAGAAAGAGCAAAAAGCCATGGGACTAGAACAGGCAAACTCCTGTAGAACACCGCCCATCCCTTTAGGTTCACAGGCTACATTGTTATCAAATGAAAAGGCAGCTCTGCAGCTCCTGGGGCTACCCCATCTAAAGGTTTTCTGTCCAGCATCTCACTAGCTGGCCAGGGAGGAAACAAAAGCTCCCCTTCCCAAGAGAGAGTCACTCACCTTGTTACACAGTGGGGAATCATTTCAGCTGCAATCTGGTATTTAGACTCCAAGCCCAGACAACGGGATTCGGGCTTTCTTTGGGGTTTGTTTAGCACAAGTAGTAGACAAGGGTTCAAAGAACAATGCAGCTCCAGAGAAACCGACTCCCTGAGAGACAAACTCCGCTCTGCTCTCTGCTCGAATTCCACAGAAAGCTGAAATCCAGACTATGTACTCATCTTCAAGCCCCATCTCCCCACGCAGGGAATTCTCAACATTTCCCTTGAGATACCCTTGAGCATCACAGTGTTTATAGGTGGGCACAGCTAATACCTAGCTGAGCACACAGATAGCCATTTCTCGCAAGATGCACACGCCTGAAGCAGAGCTAAGAAGGAAGGCTGTGCCACGCTTCCCAGCAGGATTCTGAAGGTCTCTCAAGAAAAGCAACAGCCCTGATACAGGAAAAAGCATTTGCCTGAACAGCAACTAGTAAAGGTCCCGAAATTTCAGCCCTCACACCTCCAGGCAGCCACCTCAAACCCCCCACCCCACCCCTCCATGTCCGACTCCACTCTCACCTTGTGTTTGAAAAACAAAAAAGTTCGGTTTCACAGAGGGAAGTATTCCCCCCCACCACCAAAAAAAAAAAAAAAATACGGAGGGAGAAGGGAGCGTGCTCTGTACACACACTGACTCCCACGGTCTGGATGATGCTTTCCCAAGTTCAGGGGCCTCAGGCTTACTCAGCAGAGGAAATCTCTGAGTCTGTGAGGAATCATGCCAGTTCCTATTAGTAAGAAAGGATACAGGGTCTAGGAAGCCTATTCTCTCAATGACCAGCAAAAGGGGCCCAGCGAAAAATAGAGACCTGTGCCATGACCATCTGCAGAGAGGAAGGATGTTGTTAACTTTCTTCTCCCCAAAACTCTGGCGACCTCTGCCTTGACCCTCAGAAACCAGACCCACAGGAACCGGCTTTTCTGCAGGAATTGAGAGCTTTACACCAGAGACCCAGCTCTGTAAGGCTGGTTGCCCAGGCTATCTGCCCCGAACATGTGCACTCACATTCCAAAGATGTTTCCGTTGCACTGGAATGGCTGTAAATTTCTTTCCTGCAGAATTCTTTCCACACAAACTGCCATGGGCTGGCCTCCTGCAAGAGTTCTCAACCAAGAGCTGTGCAGCTCATTGCAGCAAATCTTTTAGATGCTGGAGTATGACTGAATTGGCAACTGGGCCAGAGGAGTCAACTTTTAAAATGCAAATATATACAGCGGGGAGGGGGAAAGAAAGCCGTCCAGAACCAATCCTCCAGAAATCTACCTTCATAAGAAATGAATGATCCTGGAAGGGATACTTCCTTCAGTGCCCAGTTACTTTCCTGAAGCACATGTGAGCTTACATGGTGTTTAGGGATAATATAATAAACAGGTTGCTTTTTTTTTTTTAATCCCAAATGGATTTTTTTCCCCACATCATTCAAAAAACTAGGGAAGCAAGAAGGCTCAAAAGATGAATGTTTGCCTTCCCTGGGTAAGGAATAAAACAGTACAAGACTTTGAATATTAAAGAGCATTTCCAAATCTCAGAGAAGGCTTCGGAAAGTAATAAACCAGTCTGTTCTTTTAAGGTACACATTAAAATACGTATTATGATTACGATTGGTAACAAGACTAAAATTCAAAGAAAAATATTTATAAAATTCAAAGCTTTTATTTTTCCCTATAGATAGCATTTTCCAACATGTGTTCTCTAGAGTTAAAAGTACACAAATGCAGAGGGCACAGACACACACACACATGTATGCATGTACACACACACACATGCTATCCCTTTGTGTTACACTGGCATTTTATTATTTAATTAAAGTGTTCTTCTTTCCTTAACTCATGCATGCTTCCCTTGCAACAACGGCTTTGCTGTTAGCCTGCTGGCCTTGACTTCCAGCCAAAAACAATCCAGAAACAAAAAGGGACAACAAATCATATTTTCACAGACATTTTTAACCCTCGGTCCCACCCTCTTTTCACACAACACCATATAACCCCGAAGAAAACTATAATTTAGAGCAATGCCACCCCAACCCAGCATTTGACACTCGGCTGCCCTGAGCCTTTCTTTGGTGAGAAAATTGTTAAGTTCTTAACTGCAGATAAACTCTTTTGATAGACCCTCGTCCACTGATGTGGCTGGTTTGCAAACAGTACCCGGGGGTACCAAGTGATGGTTAAACGAATAAAACTGAGCCAATGGAGATAGCTTTGACCCTGCCGAGCCCTGAAAATAAGATGTTTATTTGTTGTAAGCTCCGGTTTGCTTCATTTCTTAAAGACAGCCATCAGGAGGCTCTCAACCCTCCCTGGCCTTTAGTGTCACAACTGAAATCAAGGCAAGCATCATTTCCCTGTTTAGTCCTCTCATCTTGTCCCCAACCCACAGTGGTACTTACCTGGTGGCAACCCTGTACGTTTTCTCTCCCATAAGATGAGTATGAGCCTCTTTCTGTTTTACCTGCCAAGAGAAACAACAAAACAGGATGAATCCGTGCTTTTCCTTTAAAGCAAACCTCCCCTGCAGGTAACAGAGATCCACTCCCCATCTCCGATGTTTACATACGTAGAGGAGGCACAACTGGCAATGTATGCAAGCAAGACAGGGAATGGCGCTTCCTCGCTCTGGCGACAAGAAACTGGAAAAAAATATCCTTCATTCCTATTCTTAGCCAAACTGCTCCACACTTCCAAAAACTGTCATTCCAGAGGCCTCCACTTTCTCTAACAAACAAATTGTCACTCCTTATTTTTCACGTTCTTTCTCTCTTGCAAAATTCGAACCATTTCATCTTTATTTACACAGCAGGCAAATGATCTATGTAATGACCCTAGCCTGGTACTTCCCATTGATTATATTGACACTTAACAGGGAGGCCAAAGCTAATCAATCATGGGCTCTCCAGATGGTGAATCTAGCAAAGAAACTGTTCAAAATTCTAAGCCCCCTTCCCCGCAACCCTCTTTCTTCCTTTTTAAAAACTCCCTTTCCCCGGGAGCGATCCCCATCATGGGCAGCACAGTGATGAAGGGAGCACTTGGGGAAGTGGATTTGGGGGAAATCACCTATTTGGAATCCGGGTTCAGACTACCAGGAGACTGACTGGGCCCTAGGATCATGCTTTTGAATGTCTTGTCCAGATTTCAAACTCCACGTTTCTCTAGACTGGTCAGGATAGGTAGAGTCTCCATTGCAACTGAGTCGTGTGAGTGGATGGACCCAAGGCTGCACTTTCTACTTTGTTTATATTTTCATCAAAATCGCATTCCGAGAGGGGTGGTGGAGTCCAGTTGGTGATGTTTGAAGGGATGTCCTAGGAAACTGACCATATCAAATGACAAAAGGCTAGCAGAGCAGGCCAATGCTCAGAACCTCACTCTGTACCAGACTGAAGCACAATCTCTAGTCAAGACTACAGCTTTAAGGTATATTGTACTTTATAGATGGCAGTACACGCGTCTCTTATCCCAAAGGGAAACCTCAAAGCTTGTTTGAGGAGCTGAAGTGACCTCCTGTTAAAGTTTATGATCCCCAAATGTTCCCTTCTTTACTCAACACAAGCATTGAAAGAAACAGTAGTCATTTTCTCTTTGGGTCCAATGTCAACGTTATCAGGGTAAACCTTGACAACACAGATAATTTGTCTTTCAGAAACTGTGTCTCTGGTGTGAAGTGAGTCCTGTGTCTATGTCACTACAATAGCACATTGGATGGAGGATGGTTTTTCAAAGAGAACAAGTTCTGAGCCTTAAGGCCCTGCCCCGTCCCCATATTAGCTTTTCTCCTGATTTTTGACAAAACTCAAACTTAGCAAAACCGTACTTCGGCCATAGTGTTGTTCAGTGCAAAGTATAAAATCAATGCCCATATCAGCCTCAACATTCAGAAGTGAGACATGGTCACACAGAGCATGTCCTGGGAGATGGACTGGAGGAACTCCCTTGAACGTGACTGTGCCAGCATACATGTGCTCACACAAACGTTCCTAACCTTCTGTGCCATGTAAGCTACCGCTACCCTTTAACTGCTCACTGTAACTGTTACTACCAGGAAACCAGCATCCCTTAAGTTCTTGTAACCAAGAAATCTCCAAGTATACCATGACATATTTACTTGAACGTGACATACACAATTTAATCACCTCATGGGCAGACACACAGGAAGGCAGACAGAAAAGTTAAAGAAAAAAAAAGTGTTTTGACATTGTAGGAATATGAACGTCTAACTACCAGATTTGGTAATTTCCAAATATTGAATTATAATATAAAATATTGGTATAAGATAAAAATGGTCCCTTCTTGTTCTGTTGTTGTTGGTTTTCTTTTTCCAAAAAGAATGACACTACCTGGTATTATTTTCAGAACTCCTCTCTAACACACACAAATAGAACAATTTTTCTACCAACATTTGTCTTACTGCGTATACATAAGCCAGGGCTGCTCCTTCTATTAGGATAATGCAAATACAAAGGACAAATGCAAAAACCAGAAGGTGAAAGAGAAATAGGGTACGGAGAAGAAAGACAGGAAGAAAGAAAAAAGAGAGAGCAATGGGCTCGGAAGGGAGGGAAGGAGCCCAGAGACAGGCGGAGGAAAATATGAATCCACGCGGCAGAGAGTCCCCAAAGTGCTCTTGGCTGCATAGGCCCAGCGTTCTTTACTATCATATCAGATACAGACTGCTTAATCTTAATTTTGCTTGTTAAAAAATATTTATCCAGATACAAAAATAAACCCACTGCAAATTACAAGTTGTCAGGGTTAAAAATCTACTCCTGTTTGTGTGGGGGAGGATAAGAGACCAGCACAGACATGAATCATTCTCCCGTAATTTGAGTGTTTCCATGACATCAATGGGCACCCGTCCAGGACTCTGTCGAAGTCTGCGAGGTACCAAAGAGGCAGCACAGCCAGCGGGAGGCTGGGAGGTGGACTAATTTTTTTTTTCCCAAGGATTATGTTCCTTGTGAACGTTTCATCCGTAGCATCCCCTTTTACCGTCAAATAGATCGCTGCAGAGATCATGGGCGAACACATTTCATTCTAATAGTGTAAGCCTTTAACTTTATTGCAGCTTTTTGTTCCCAAATTCAACTATAAATCTGGCCTCAGAGTCCAAAACCCTGGTTGGGAGCAAAATAATCAGGGATTGTGAACAAAGCCCCGGGACCTCGAAAACATCAGATCTCCTTAGTTCTATCATATTTCAAATGATAAAAAGCAGCCATTTTAAAATGTCACCTCAGTTTGCAGGGGAAAAAACATCATGTATTCTGTGTTAGTTGTCCATTAGCAATTAGGCATGGACTTGATATGAATTTTCTGTTTCAAATTCAATGGCATGTTTGTTTGGAGACAATGGAACTTTGAAACTCACTGAAGGGATATCGGAGTGGGGCCCTTAAGTAACTATGTATGTTCAGGAACACAAAGGGCCCTAAATATCTGTGTCTCCTCTATGCTGGTCATGGATTTAGCCACCTACATCAACTGGCTGGTACAGAGAGCCCGTTCCCTTCTCTCTGTATTATTTACCAACCTCCCTCGGCCATGGGATCACGAGTGCTTTGAAGGAGCTTGGGATTCTATTTCTCCAATATCGAAGGGAGATAGTGGCGATGAGCAGACCCTGTCAGGCTCACTGCGGAGTTTTCAAGACAACCGTCCAGTACTAGAATGCGACAGCCGCTGCGGATATTTTTTGGCACAAAGACAGTGGTGGCAGTGCCAAGCCCCATGGCTAAAACTACTCAAAAGAGGCATAAGGGTAGCATTAATCGCTCAAGTCTTTTACTGCATGGAGTACCGTTGTCCATATTTTAAAAACTAAAAGAACCCGCTAGTGACATTTGTTATATGCCTATAAATTGGGGGCAGGGGGAGGGGAGAGGCTTGCAAAATAGATATGAGAAACAAATCTTATCAGGCACTCGAGTAATTTTTTAAACCTAAGAAGACCAAATGTTAAATTTCGCTGCTGGTAACAATTTCCGTGAAAGAAACAAATGGTCTGACCTGAGGAGGGATGTTGAGATGGCTGAATGGGAGTGACTGAGAGCTAAGTCCACATGCTAAACAACTCCTCTTCTCCAGCAGTGCTCTATGTACATAAGTAACATGTAACGCTGTGTCACAATGTTTTTTTTTTCCCCAATTAAATACGAAGAATGCTGTAAATGAGCAGACACAGCGCCCGTCAATCAATCCTGAAGACAAAGGAGCTCAACATGCAGGCTCTTGTCTAGGAAAGGTTGGTGTCTACAGAGAGCAAGCCATCCAGGAAGTCAACATGGGCGTTGTCCAGATGAAGCCTAGCCTATGGCTGAAATCGATATTTAAATGTGATTGCTAAAAAAAAAATGGCACCCCATGACAATCAATAAAGGATTCACTTCCTTCCTTCTGTTGTCCCTGAAAACCAATGCTCAGCAGAAAATATCAGCCATTTGCAATTTTTAGGGCCAGTATTTTTGCTTACCCTGATGGTAATCTCTTAACATAATATCACCAAAAGCAGTAAGAAATGTTGTTACTATTGTTGTTGCAATTTGGAGGCAGTACAGTTAGCAACTATCAAAAGAACCCAGATTTAGTCTTTAAATAATCTATGATTTGTCATTTGACATGTCTGACGTTCCTTCCAATATGTCATGGTATCCTGTCACAAGGAGAATGGATGACAATGAAAATGGGCTCAGGGACAGGTTCCACTCACAAGGGGAGTCACCTGTGATGGATCAGTGCTCCTGGGCTCACAAGAGAGTTTAAAGACACATGGAAAGCTCCAAAGACAGATACGGGCAACTTCTCTGTATGGTTTCTAGACGTGAGCTAGGGTATAGCACATCCTTTGGTGGTTCATCAGCGATAACTGTGTCATATTGGTGTATGTGGCCCCTGATTTGTAAAGGGCTCTTCTAACACTTATATGTAGGTGGAAGATTTAAAAAAAAAAAACCACAGAAACAGGAGCACTTGTATGTCTCCTGCTCAAAGCCTTGAAAGAAAATGAGCTGATCCCATAGGATGATACCAGCCAGCTACCTCCCTGCTAATCCTCGTTCTGAGAACTGAAGAATGGGCCTTTTGTTTCGCAGCATCAGACTAGGGAACTCATGGTAAACATGCTTGACTCAGAATCAGTTTCTGTCCCTGTCCCAACTCCAATCAATCTGTGGTTAACCTATTAATATCTGCTTCTTCTTTTCTAACACAGTCAAAGGGGTACTCCATTAAGCTGTAGCTAGAAGTTTCATGGGTAATGAAAACACACAGTGGTGATTCTGTAGACTCCTCTCTTCTGTATGTCTGTCTACTTGTGCCCTACCTAAGTCAGAAGAGCTCAGGGCTCACCCTACCCAGAGGGCTCTGTGTACTTTGTATTCTATCTGACTAAATTTCACAACAGCTAGTGAGGTAGATAGCATCAACACCATTTAACAGATGAGGAAACTGAGGCAC